TTTTTTTCTTATAAATATTCAGTCACACTCTACCCTCTGTCTTAGTCCCTGTCAGTGTTAGCATCAATTTCGGTAGCATTTGCTCAGATTCTCCTTGGATTCTGCGGTATTTGGCCTTGGAGGATATGGGGGGCAGGTGCCTTCTGAGTTGGGGGATGGGGACTGCCGCTCAGCCTCCTTTTTTGCAACCACAGCTAATAACAGCTGTTCTTCTCTGCCATCCCCACTTCTATGCAGTCCCCACTTCTCTGCTTTCTGCCCTGATCTCTGGGCACTGCTGCTCTTTGGAGCTCACAGCTCTCTCAGGCAGGGCTGTTCAGGGAACCTGCCACACCTTCTCTTCCCCTCCTGCTGCAGGGAGCTCCAGCTTTGAGAGGCAGCTTCTTTGTTTCTCTCAGTTTATCACCTGACTCCCAGGGTTCTGACCTGAGGCAGCTCTTATCTGCAGATCTCACACTCAGACATGCTGATGTGCATGTTGGGTGTTTTTGTTGAGTTTTAGATGTTCGGCTTATTGTTGGTTCAAAAGGAGAGATCTAGGACATCTCTCACTCCATCATGCTTTTGACGTCACTGTCCTAGAGATTATTAAATACATTTATAAGTCTGCCTATCTACAGAATGCTGGTGTAATTGTTCATAATTTGCTTACTTCCTAATTTTTACTAGAAATTAAGGTTTTCAAGGGTTAGGATTCTAACATATGTAATTGAAACTACTTAGGATAATAGAGGAAAGGTCTGTGTATACAAGGAAATTGAAACGTGTGTTTTTGGTAGAGAAGGTATGAGGAATGTGTATTTTTGTTGAAAAAAAAAAAAAAGATAGTAATTTTGTCCTAAAGGGAGACTAATTGTTTCAGAATAAGAAATTAAAAGAAAACATAGGGGAAAATCATAAAAGGTTTGTAGAAGAATCTTATGAAAAAAATTTTCTGTGTGGTCAAGGTGGATAAGATCAAAAAGATTTGTTATAAAGTGTTTTTAAACTAAGCTTCAATATCAATAACACATGAATGTGAAACTAAACTTTTTGGACTATTTCTCTGCCTTGGAATTTTGGAAGTGTTCAGGGAATATCAATAACACATGAATGTGAAACTAAACTTTCATTTTCTCTCATTTGCTGAAAGAACATGTTTTTATAGATTGTTGCTCTGCTCTTAATAAATTGTAAACAAAAATTTTGCTTTACCTTTAAAAAATCTGCCTAGGAAACAAAGATTCTGTGTTTTATCAGTATGATTTTCTGTGTTCCATGTTGTCTTTATCAGGTCTTTATTTATTTAAGAAAACTGAACACTCTCTTTTTAAGCACCTAAGGTTTCTTTCTTTCTTAACAATCATTTAGCATTCTGTATTTGCCTGAAGTCTTTAATCGTCAATATGGTTAAATAGATAACTAAGTATTCTTTCACAGTGACCTTTTGATATTTTGAGAAACTGTCTCCAAATCAAATTTTAAATAGTTTTTTTCTTACCTATGAGTACATTTGGGATTTTTTAGTAGCCTCATAACAGATTTATTCTCTCTCTTTATATAAGAGAGATGTTATATTAATTAGGCTTACCAGATTTCTTAAATTTCTTAAATTACATTGTCAAATAAGTGATTTTAAACCTCAGGTTCTGATATGTCCTGTTGTAACATTATCAGTCATAATTTGAGTTATTATCTTAAAATGTGTGTCACAGAAATAACCAAATTTCTTTGTCAATAACACAATAATGAACTCTCATCAGACCTTTAAGTATGAACATTTCTAAGTCTTTTTCTTTTATGAAGAGTTATGGTTTTACTCTGATGGTTTCACAAGTGACACTCATAGAGAGAACCTTACCCAGTGCTCGGAAACTCTGACACTGCTGTGACCCTGGGAGACTTAGGTACTCATCTCACAGTGGAAGAAAGCTCCACCTGACACTTGGTCCTGTGCATGTTGGAGTCCTCCAAATCAAATGACTATGCAGAGGAGTAGCTAATATCAAGGTAGACTGCTTCCACCCAAGGTCCTGGATCAAGACTTTATACATTAACTAACATGAAACTTTTTCTTCTCTTTACTCTGCTACTGGCCTGGAAAGGTAATGCCATCATCTGTATCTCTCAGGCCATTGCTAAGGGGAGTAACCTTTCAGACTGCTGTGTTTGTTGTCAAAAATTTTCTTTGTTTATGGTGCTAGAGGCAATACTCATTCTCCCTGTGACCAATTTTTCTCTTTTTCCCAATGCTCCAGTAGACTATGATCAACCTCTCTAGAAGTCATTTACACAGAGTCTGACTGTTATGGCCAGGACATCCAGTGCCTTATTTTTACCTTTCTCCAGTTATAACTGTACTTGCCCAATTAGACACAAATGCTTATGCAAATAGTAGCACATTTGCACCTCCATGTTCTCATGATTATCTAAATCAGATCTGCCCCCAATTACAAAAATATTACACCAGTAGCACCCATATTTGAAAGGAATTTAGAACAACTTTTTATTTCAAGTTAAGAAATATACTTTCTGATTGCAATGAACCCCTAACTGGCCCCTGGTTGAAGGGGCAAATGCAACAGCCCTTGCAAATAAATTATTGACAGTCCACCTTGGTGTGAATGGTTTATGCCCTGACAGGATTTGTCTTTGTTTGTGGTGGTTATCATTCTCTTTGGGTCTATGAATACCTTGGCTGGCACACAACCAGGCAATGCCTCTCAGGTTATCCGTGTCCCTAACTGTTCACAGAGCCATCTCACTGATCAACTCCCCTGAACTTACATCATTGAGTTAGAAAGGACTTCCAAGAGGTGTTCATGACTCGGGCTTTACTTCCTTCGGCAGGTCCCTACTTGCTTGGTTAGGAGTGAGTGCAAATGAAGCTGTTGTCAGGACCCTCTCCTTAAATCTTGTGGATCCTACAGAATCTACAGCTGAAGCAACAGCTGCCCAACAAATATCCTTAGACTCTCTAGCCAAGTTTGTTTTTGATAATAGAATATTCCTTGCTTATCTCTTATCTGAGCAAAGAGGTATCTGCTGTGGCCAACACCTTCTTCTGCACCTGGATCAGCACTTCTGGGGAAGTTGAAACTTACCTACATAAAAGTATTGAACAAAACACTTGGCTTAAGAAAGTGACTCCTTCTATGGAGTCTTTCTTTGACTTATTACATTTTGATTGGTTTGAGGACTATGGCTCTGAAGTGCACTCCAGACATTGGGAATGATTCTGCCTATAATAATCACAGTAATCTCCCTGTGCTGTATTTTCTCAAAAGGTTAAATGCCTGTTTGCAGCTACTAACTCCCAAGGAAATAATCTCCCTGAGACTGGAAGGTCAAGAAAGAAATCAAGAGAGTGGCCAGCTTGAAAATGTGAAGTTATTACCTGTGACTATCACTCAAATCAGCAAAAGCTACAAGAACTTCGTAGTGGTAGTTGGAGGTGGCACTAATACTTACAATTTTATCACATCTCCCAGTCAGGTGAGAATCAAAACAAAAAAAGACAGCAAGCCCCAGAGCTGTGCTCAGTCCACATCACAGAGCTGAGACTTGATATCTAACATAATTACAGTTCCACCTGCCCCAGGAGTGTGATCTTTATCCAATCAATCTGGAGATACCTGGTCAGCATCAATGAGGTCATCTGCTTGACAGACCCGCAGTCCCCTAAAGAAAGATGACTCTTCCATAATCAGCTCTTTGCAAATAGAACTTTCTGGTCCCGCTCCCCCACCCTACACCTCTTTCTATTAATGTTTCATTTTGTACACCTCCTCAGAGCTCCTTCCTATCTTCTAGATGGGATGCTTCCTTTATGGGTCAAATAATGCCAATAAGATCTTAAAAATTCACACAGATTAATTTTGTTTTTTAACAAATCTAAACTCCTATCCTTACCTACCAATGACTTTTAACACTTATCTTCATACCTAACAGTACTGAAATACCCAGCTCCTTATCTGGTGTTTATACTTAGAAATTCAACAGATATTTCAAACTTAACATGCCCCAAAGAGAGCTCTTAATTCTATACACCTTGTTTTACTCTATATAAATAAATAGGTTCGTCATGGACTTAATTGCTCAGGCCAAGCGCTTGAGGGCTGTTCTTGATTCTCCAATCCCCTCACACCCTACAGTTTGTTCATCACCGATTCCTATTACCCATGCCTCCAAAATATGTGCCCAGTTGCAGTGCTTGCTGTCACCTCTACTCCTAAAACTTTAACCCAAGCTCAGAGGGTCCCTCCTCTGCACACACAAGTGCATTCAGACATCTTCCTGCTTTAATGCTTTTCCCTGCAGCTAGAGGAGCATTCTCAGTATTCAGTCATAATCCAGCTTTTTTTAAATTCAAATCTATCAGTGGCTTTTTATTGTACTTGTAAAGCAGATTAAATTCAAATCTATCAGTGGCTTTTTATTGTACTTGTAAAGCAAAGAAAAGTTCTACTTCTGATCTAAATCACACAAAGCCCTCCAGGTCTAGGCCCTGCTCGTTATTCCCACCCTTCATTCTGGACCAGTCTCACTGTGCATACCTTTCCCATTTCAGCACAGTGACACCTACTATTCTTTCTACCTGAAAGCTTTGTGCCTGGATCTTCCTATGCCTGTTTCTTTCTTGCTCAAATGCAGCCTCTTCAGAAAGTCCTTCCTTGATTGCCATAAATTGAACAGTCCACTGATCTCCACTATCCCATTGTGCTAATCTAGTTCTTCTATAAAATACACTACATTATGAGTTACATTTTTTCTAGTTTTAGTAACATAATTTACATATAACAGTGTATTAGTTTAAGGTGTACAACACAATGCAATGTTACTTCACATTTGTTAGAATGACTATCATCAAAAAGACAAAAGAAAAACAGAATTTGTGGTGATGATGTTGCTCTGTTGGTGGGATTGTGAATTGGCAACTCTAACTACCATGTGACAAAGCGGAACCCGATTTGCCATCCGTGTGGGAGGACTCTACTGTAAAAGTCACCCCCTGACCCAGTTCATGTGCCCTTGAACTTGCCCAGTGCCCTCTTCAGAGCACCAGCCACCTCCTTGTTTCTCAGGCTATAGATGAGAGGGTTCAGCATCGGGGTGAGGATGGTGTAGAACACGGAGAAGACTTTGTCTTGGGCTGGCTGGTGGTAAGAACGAGGCAGCATGTAGGTGTATATGGCGGCCCCGTAAAATAAGGTCACCACTGTCATGTGAGATGAGCAGGTGGCAAGTGCCTTTTTCCTCCCCTCCAGTGAGCTCATGCGGTGGACTGCAGTCAGAATTTGGGCATAGGAGGCGGTTACCACACAGAAAGGAATCAGCAGCATCAACACACAGCACACATACATCGCTGCCTGGTATAGGGCTGTGTCTGCACATGCCAGCTTCAGGACTGCAGGCGCCTCACAGAAGAAATGGTTGATCTCCCGGGAGTTGCAGAAGGAGAAGCTCATGGTGATGGGGGTGAGGAGGAAGCCATCGAAAGAGCCTCCGAACCAGGAACCGGCTATGGTTGCCCAACAGACCCGGCGGCTCATGAGGACAGGGTACCTCAGAGGGTGGCAAATGGCCACGTAGCGGTCATAGGCCATAAGCCCCAGCAGGAAAAACTCAGCCCCTGCAAGAGTGATGTAGAGGAAGTGCTGAGCTGCGCATCCCACAAAAGAGATCGTTTTTTGGCCCAGCAGGTAGTCAACCAGCATCTTGGGCACAGTGGTGGAGATGTACATCATGTCGATGAAGGATAGGTGGCTGAGCAGGAAGTACATGGGGGTGTGCAGGTGTGCGTCCACGTGGGTCAGGAGGATCATGGCTCCATTGGCTATCAGCGTGATGAAGAAGATGGCGGAGATGATGGAGAAGAGAAGGCCTGAGATGTCGTCTCTGTCTAGCAGTCCCTGGAGAATGAAGTCTGTGGAAGATGTATTGTGCCCTTCCATTAACTCTAGTGGTGGCGTCTAAACCTCTTGGATCCCTGCTTTACATAAAGCCTTAATAGTGCCTTTTTTTCTTATAATATTCAGTCACACTCACTACCAGGAGTCTTAGTCCCTGCCTGTGTTAGCATCAGTTTCAGTAGCATTTGCTCAGATTCCCCTTGAATTCCGTGGTATTCGGTCTTGGAGGATATGGGGGGAGGTGCCTTCTGAGTTGGGGGATGGGGCTGTGGCTCAGCCTTACATTTCGCAACTGCAGTTAATAGCAGCTGTTCTTCTCTGCTGTTCCCACTTCTCTGTGGTCCCCACTTCTCTGCTTTCTGCCCTGATCTCTGGGCACTGTTGTTGTGCGGAGCTCACAGCTCTCTCAAGAAAAGTGTTTCAGGGAACCTGTCATACCTTCTTCCCTTCCCCTCCTCCTTCAATTAGCTCCACGAGGTCGTGCTATAATTGTGAATCTTCCAAATAAAACAATGACATTGGCACGGAACAAACAGAATAGCATACAGGTGGATCATTAGGCAGTAAACTCTTAAAAATTACAAGAAAACATTTAAAAATATTTTTCCTTGATACTTTGAGATTGATACGTAAGGACTTATCTATTCTTGAATGTTTTAAGTAAAATTGATAATTTTTAAATCAATAGCTTTTTAAATACATTGGACAAGATGATGTTGGCAGATGCTACTACAGTGAATCTCGTAACAACCAAGTGTATGTACAATATATACAGCATTCAGCGTACTCTGGCTGGGGAGTGTGTGAGAGCATGCATGTGCACATGCCCATGTGTGAAATATTACTTTAGATGCGTTTAAATCGGTATCCTTACTAAATCAATCTATTGTTATCGGTATCACTAAGGTAATCTTCGAACAGTGCAGTATTGGGTGTGGCAAGTCTACACCTGCCATTTAGCCACAAATATGGGTACTCTCCCATTTAGGTTACGAGTCACTGTCGAGTTAAGAGTGTTTTCATGGTGTCAGTCCATCTATGGTGCAGACAAAAACTGTATGGGAGGAAGTAAAGTGGGCAATGAAAACTAGTCTTGCAAACTCAGACACAAATTGTCGTCCAATACAAGAGGCAGTTACTGTTTTAGGGTGATTTTTGTTTATTTTTTAAGAAAGAAATTTCAATTTCAGGATGAGGAGGAATTGGAATTTGAATTACAGGTAGCATAGACATTTAGCATTAGCAATTAGGATTCAGAGGAAATTGAGCGGGGATATTTTTTCAGAGTGATTAGTAATTAAGAAAAACATAGTTACTATGTTTTATATAATTTTAGGTGAGGATAAAAAGTAAATAGAGGTCCACAACTTTTAAAAGTTAGGGAATATTTTTCATGTGTTTGAAGTTGAATAGGACAAGGTAGAATATGTTTTATCAACATGTTTGGGAGTTAAATAGATCAAACTAGTCTATGCTCCTCTAAACATCCTAAAAAATATGAGCATTAGAGTCTATTGCACAGAAGAAACCCTATGAAAAATGAAGATAAAGACATCACAAAGAGCTTACTTTGTGCCAGATGCTCCAAATCTGTGCACTCACTGAGCTTCACAGTGAACCCAAGGCCAGAGGAACAGCAAACTCTTTAGCGATGGCAGGATGAAAAGCAATGCTCCCCTGGTCACGTGAGATGTTAAGGACAGGGATGTTTGCACAAAGAAGTCTAACTTACTCTGTGCTCTTACTCACAGCACAGAAAATCAACTTAGTATTCACCATAGTTATCAAATGAAACGTGCCAATAATACGACTCTGTTAACTCGTTAAATACATGTAACCCTTAATGTGATAGGTGAAAACTATCTATAATTAAGAGTATATTGGATAAATTATTATAATCAGGCAGCTGATTTTTAAGGGTGCAAACTCTGTTTTCAGGTTTATCTTTTTTTTTTTCACCAATTTCAAAATCTTTGGTGCCAGATCTTATAAATTTCTCTGACAGCATGGACCATTTATTTCATCCTCTACAACCTGCTTCATTTTTCTTTGGCCTTTGTAATTTCCATTGATGGAGCCACTTAAATAAGTATCAGAAAGAGAATGTTGTCCAGTTTCTGGAATAGCCCTAACATTACTGGTGTCTTAGCTTCTCCCACATTTTGGTTCTAACGTTTACCAAACTCTAAGTCCTTAGTAACAAAGAGAAAATTAAATATTGCTTTACACAGTCAAACAGCTTTGTTCTCCATTCACATTGACCTAAGTCTTTGTTTAATTTTCTGCCACCTTAGTTCCCTGCCCTCTCCAGGTCCTGCAGTCATAGCAATAACAAAGGCCTCTCTTGTTCACACTAAAAAGTTCTGATTGTCAGAGAGGGAGTCTTTTAGTTAAATGGATTACCTGCTCTCTCACTCACCAGGGGGAGTGCCATGAGAAAGAACTGTTCTTGTGGAACTTCTGGGCACAGGTGACACTTCTTTGCTCAGGTTCAATAAGAATGAAACAATGAGGGATGCCTGCAGTGATTCTGTGCCTTTGTACAGGTATTTGCTTCTGACACAATGTAGTAGACAGGAAAACGAAATTTAGCATCAGATGAATTGAGTTCTCCTGGCCATGATATTAATTAATTCTATGATTCTCTCTCCAAACTGTCTGAGCTTTAGTTTCTATTAATGTTAAATTAACACAATATAACATTCAGGGCTGGCCTATAGGAAAAAAAAAAAAAAGAGTTCATAGTTACAGGTGAAAATATTTTATATAATGCAAAGTTAAATGTTAATGTATACACATATGTTAGTTATTTCAAAATTATTGGTAAATGTGTGAGAAATACCAATTTTTCATGTAAACAACCTACTATTCAACTAAAATCTGTGTATTTAAATTGTAAGTATTTTTTTCAACTTCAAGTCTACAAACTCTGGTGCCTCCGGTGGGGCTAATTCACTAGTTAGATTCTGTATTTCCCCTTAATATCCCTTGTCTTGAGAGAAATGGTCTCTAGCATAAATTATCAAAAAATATTTGTGCATCACATTTGGTTAAGCCTGGAGAGCATCTAAATGTGTTTGAGAAGCATAGATATTCTTGGTCTGCAAATTATGAGGACATAAGAAGAAAAAAGCATTGTATAAACTTGGTATGACTTTATTGGAGGAAATTGTCTTTAAAGCTTTCTTAAATCGCTTTTTACTACACTATACCACACATCAGGAGAGAGCAATACCTTTATTCTATCTTGGCGTTTGCAAATATTAGCTCTTACTTTGTCAGGCACAGCCATGTGGTTGAGTGGAGATAAGTGAAATTGCTCCATCCCTCCTAACTTGAAGTTAGGATATGATATCTGCACAGGATTGGAATGTCCACCATTCCCCCCTCCCCAACTCTATTTAAATCAAGTCATGGTGGCATCTCTAAGTTGCACGTTGCGGCCCCTCTGGTTCTATGTGGCCGCAGGTGCCTGTCCTGACAAATTAAAGAGCAGGTCTATGCTCATGCAGGGCAAGAGGAAACTCTGTGCTCGCCTGAATTGGAAGCTGCCTCCTTAAGCCTCTTCCTCAGAAGCAGTTTCTTCTCTTTGTACCAAGCACCCAGACTGTCTTGATGTGCATAGAACTGCAAAGTCTCCTCCACACTTTTCTGTGCCCTTCCTGCCTCTAGATTCGCCTAAGCATTCATCTACAAATCCCTTGCCAAAATGTGCAAGTCTCATGTATTAACTTGAGATGAACTTTGACAGTGTCCATTTAAAATGCCTTATCTCGGTCTCCACAATTACTTCAGGTGGAGTGTCTCCAGTGCAGAATACACTGGAATATAATTTGTTCTTATTCAGGTATGACATATCATATACTCATTAAAACTCTTCTTGTATTTTCACAAGAACTTTCTCAAGCTAGGTCAATCCATAGTTGCACAGTTTTGAAACTAGATGCAAAACCTTACATATATTTCTAAATTGTCTCTGAATTCCCAATTTCCCCATAGTATCTCAAAAAGTTGGAATTATTAAGAATAAAATCAAATTGAAATAACAATTATAAAATTATTAGATAATAAAATACCAGTTTCCTCAGACAATCTCACCAGGTGTCCATTACTGTGAGGAATCACTACAGGGAGAAATTGAGAACTACATTCCTTTGTCAGTCACATGGCCCTTCTGCCAGGACCCTTAAAGAGACAGTAAATCTGGATAAGCCCCACTATTTTGGTACAGAGGGCACTACAAAATTGCTTGTTGAGCCCCAGGCAGAGAGGATATGAGAAATGCAGGTTTCTGCACATCCTTTAAAATTATTAGGGAAAAGTGCTATGTAAAATGCTTGTACCACTGACAGCAAGGCAGAGCCCAGGGCATGAAGTAAGACAGCCTGCAGGTGTCTGCCTACTCTCTCACCTACAGTTCTCTGACCCTCACAATCACAACCCAGTGCTAGGGGAATGGGGAGGAGGGAGGGAGAGTAGGGGGCACAATACCAGCAGGGAATCACAATGCCTCTTCCTGGTCTGTGCTCTATAAACTAAGACTAGGCGTAAGTATTTGTTTCATCCTATGTCTTTCAAATGATATTGTCGCTATCCCATCCACGAAGTCAAGGTTTGCTTAAATTATTAAAAAAGAATAAAGGATAAGAAAAGCTTTCACTAAAATTACACACAGACATAAACAGGTATTTTATATGAAAGAAGATTCTTCCCACTGTTTCATCAAATAGCACCCTTGCAAATGGAAATTTGCAATGTATACTCCAGACAATTCCCAGAAATAATCAAGCAGGCAATTGGCATCTGATGCCGTTGCAGTTGGGGTGGGAGGCGTGGGCAGTCATTTCTTCACTGAACGTGCACCTGAGGTTTGCTGCCCTGCCTCCCTTTCCTTAGAGTCAACTCATTTATATCTTAAAAGGAGAGTCGACTCATCCCTTTCACTAGGAAAACAGTGGAAACTTATTTCCTTATTCACCATTTAAACTGTCATTAAGAAGCCAAGCTGGATGTGCATGTGCATTGCCCAGTCACCTGAGACCTACCCGCACAATGTCAAAAGACCTGGGCTTTCCTTCAGATAGCAGGGACAGAAGGACAGAGGTGGTATAAGTATCGCAGAAGCTCCTAGATGACTGGGCTAAATGTAATCAAGGATTTTGCATTGTCAAGACAAAACTTCTAATTATTAAATTCAATCACTTAATTTTCATAAAGCTTGAAAATAATCTATCCATTTTCCCCACGGCCTCCTTGTTTAACCTCATCATCTCACGTTCCTCTTTCCTAGTACCTTTCCTCAGCTATGCAATCTGTGGAATGCATAATAAAAAGAGCACGTTACTCACATGTCCTGGTATGAGCAAGGGAGTGGAAGGTGATACAGGACAAGGCAAATTCCCTGAGTTGGGGGGAGACCAAGCTCTGCACTGAGAGAAGAAGAGGGTCCTTGGTGGAGAGTGAAGAAAGAATTCAACACATACGCCAAAGTTGGAGTCAAAAAGAAAGTTTATTAGTAAAGAGGTAACACTCCATGGACAAGAGTGTAGTCTCCTCTCAGAGGCAGAGAGTGAGAGGGACAGTAAGAGAGACAGTGAGAGAGACAGAGAGAGACAGAGAGAGACAGAGAGAGACAGAGAGACAGAGTAAAGGCACCAAGAGGAGAGAGACCATACTGTGGGATGTTACTCCTTTTCTAATAAACTTCCCTTTGACTCCAACTCTGGTGCATTGAATTCTTTCTCTACTATCCGCCAAAGGACCCTATTCTTCTCTCAGTGCAGGGCTGGGTCTCACCCCACTCGAAGACATTTGCCCTGTCCTGCATCATCTTTCCTGGCAACCACTAAGGGACAAATGGACATAAACTGGTCCCACCCAAGTTTGCCATGACTCCTCTTATCTGAGAGTGGCCAGGATTCATTTCCCTATGCCATGCAGATCAATTGGCCTTGGACAAACAGTTGATGTTGTTTCTAGGGGGCTGGTGAGGGACTTGTTCCCTGACTGAGCAGGAGTCTACCGGTCCTGTCTACTTTTCCTGCTTTTTTCCCTCTAACTTCCCTGACTTGGCATCACCATCAGAATTACAGAGAATACCTGCTGAGGGGCCCTGTCTGAATTCCAAACTAAAAGACTAGAAGAACCTGTCAGCCACAACAAAACGGGTGAGTCTCCATGGGAAACTCTGTTCTTCCCCCTCAGCCCCTTGCTTTCATTTTTGCTGGGGGCTTGCAAACGGGGAAGCAGTGGGCTGCAGATGCTTGCCTGGCCTTACTCCCTGACCTTGCCTCTTGGCCTTTCCCTCCTTCCTTCCCCTCTCTAGTGGGAATTCTAGTGGGAAAGATGCAGGGTCACGGTAGCAGTTCCACTGAACTCTCCTTACTCATCCCCTATCCTGTCCTCATTTCTCCATTGGCTCCCGGATGCTACAGCAATCTCAGAGTGAGCCCAAATAGCTCAAAGCTGAGCATCAGGCCAGACAGCCCAGATTGCGTTGGGCTCCCTGGCCTGTGTCCCCTACTGTGCGGGACTTCAAAGTCTTGCCCACCCACCCCCAAAAAGCTAAACTTCTGTTGCTATCCCTGAATTTCTGTGTGTTTCTCTCTCCCTTGGAGCCACAGGTAAATCCCTGCGCACTCGGCGCAGTGTTGGGCCCAGACCCATGCTGCCATTCCTCTCTGGCAATGGGGGGCCCAGGATCCCCTCCCATATCCCCCTAACGCGCTTTCAGACCCAGGCACAGCTAGGATTATGTCCTCTGGTTTCTTGAGGTTAAGTTTCAGTGCTTTTGCAGAGGGTTCCCAGGTTCAATTCCTAGTAAGGGAAGACTATTTCTCCTCTTCCCCGGCACCGGCGGCAGGGGCACTTCCCAGCTTAGCCCCACGGCCCAGCTGTCAATGAAACCTTCGGCAGCAATTCCTCCCAGCAAGGACCCCTAGGGGTCCTGCCTCCTTCCAAACTAACTATGGGAGGGGGTCCAAGAAGTTTGGCCTGCAAACGGTTCGCTAAACTACAATACTTTCCTCCAATTAGATCTTTTTTGCAAGGAAAAGTGGCAAGAAGTCCTCTACGTACAAGTTTCTATGCTCTCTTACCAAGACCCAGAATGATTAGATGACTCAATGATAGGAGCACCTTCTTGGAGATCTGAAAATAATGAGGAATTTTCTTCTCCCTTTTCACTCTCACACACTGAAGGGGGGACCGAGTTCTCTGGGGACCCCATCTATTTCATTGCTTCCTGAGGAAACAAGATATGCACCCTCAGGGAAGTTACAAATACTGATGATGGGAAAAAATGAATATGTGCATGACCTCTGATCTGTATTTGTCTGTGTTATATGTAATATGGTGGTTGAGTTAAGAATTCTAATTATGATGGGAAAGAAGATGTATGTTTTTGGTAACAGAAGGTATCAAGTATGGAGATATATTTTGAAGGGAATTGAAGGAAAGGTGTTTATCTTAAAGTTGGTTATTTCTGAATAAGTGAGAAGAGGCAAACTGAAGGAATGAGGAAAGTTGTAGAAGGTTTGTGAAGAGAAATCCTGAGAGGAAATTTTATGTGATTAAGCTAAACAAGATTGAAAATTTAAAAGTCAAAAGTAAGCTAATACAAAATTAGAGTTGTGTTTTCATGTTTCTTAGACTATTATATTGGCCTTCTACTAACATTATGGAAAAGTTTTCTCAGTAGAAAACAAGAATTCTGTGCTTCATCAAAATAATTGTCTGTGTTTTATGTTGCCTTAACCAGTTTTCTGAGGCTTTTAGAGAATATACTAACATTGGCCCAAAGTCTGAGAGCCAGACACTCTTGGCTATGCATGTCATAACTCGGGCTGTGCCCGATTTTCAAAAGGAAGCTCCAAAAGTTGAGGCCTGGACCCCAAACCCCACAGGCTGCCTTAAGTGCCAGAAGTCTTTAAGGTGTCTAATAACTGAGACCGGGCAGAGAAAGAAGCAGAGTACAAAAAGGGTGCAAATTTTAGCTGCCATAATGCAGGGACCATCTCGAGGTGACCCTAGGCAATAAAAACCTTTCAGTTCTGGAGAGGGTGCATTTTCAATGTGCAAAGTGAAGAAGGAAGGGCACTGAAAGGGCTGTGTCTATCCAGCCCTGGTAAGTCTGGCAGGGGTGGACCTCATAAGATCTCCCCTTATAGCAAGTCTCTCATGAGAGTGGTGCTGGCTCCCTCTGCCAACAACGGAAGCCCAAGTGCTCACCAGCTCCAATCCTAGGGAAATCCATTGCAATCAGGACAGTGGAGCCTCAACACAGCAGGAAGG